TTTAAAAAGTATTTACAGTGGCAACCCACTGGGGATGTTTTATTCTGTCCTATTGGTTTGCTATGAGTCAGAATTGACCCCTGTGACAGTAAGGTTTTATTGCTGCTGCTGCTGTTGGTTTGTTTGTTGATTTTAGTATATAAAATGCTCTCTTGCTTATTTCAGAAAATTGCTCTTAATTTCCTCTCCCTGGATACACAGTACACAGGTAATTTACATCTATGACCCTTATCATTTACAAAGCTTCCACTACCATCAAGTGAATTCTGATGTATCATGACCCTATATCTAAATGTCTAAAGGATGTACACCTTTAAGAGAGCAAACAGCCTTGCCTTCCTTTTGTCGAGCAGCTGTTGGCTTTGAACTTTGCAGTAGCAGTCCAACACTTAACCCACAGCACCACCACAGCTCCTTATTAGCCAGATTAGTGCATTTATTTTATTAAACAGTTATAAATTCTGCAATATACTATCCTTTATTATTATTTAATTATATACTTGTTTACAAGATTTTGAGGTAATTAAGCAGGTTACCAGATAATCCCAGAAGAAGAAAACTGCATTTCAGGAAACATAATTTATTAACCAATGAACACAGCTAATTAACATCAGAGCTAAGTGCACCTTCTAGTTCACTAGATTTATTTTCCGAATTTATACGACAAACTTCTCCAAGGAGGGAATAGTTTTCCAGAGGCCAAAGTGACTCATGGACACATTTTTATCAAATAGTTCATTGTTCCAGAACCATTCTCTTGGTAATTCCATGGAAAATAACCCCTCCACCCCTCTACCCCCCAAAGGCTTATCTTTTTGTCCCAGAGAGAGTTCCCACTCTTTCTCCTTGGCACATCCACGGGGGACTAGAAGAAGACAGCTGAAGAAGTTGGTATAAGTATCCAAACATAATCACATCATACTCTAAGTAAGCAGCTAAAAAGGTAAGAAGAAAACATAGATAAAAAGAGAACATGTTTCATATATATATATGAAAGAAGTTTGAGCCTTGAATGCCTAAGTAGAATATATACCTTGACATTTAAATTTATATTTGGTGATTCTAATTTAATTCAATATAAATTAATTAGGACTTACATTGGAAGTTGAATGCTTCCTAAGCAGAAAGCAAAGGAAACAAAAAAGAGACCTACATATTTTGGCTAAAAGAAATGTAAGAAAATTGCTTTCAAGTTAGTGATGGATAATAATCAGATTATGAGTAATACAACTAAGCAGGTCTATTTGAAATAAGGGAAGTTATTAAATGGAGAAAAAAAATAAGATTTTAACTATCATTGGTTATGTGCTACTTCAGGAATTTCATTGTTCCTTATGTAGGTATATAACTTATTTTCTTCTAGACATCAATTTAGTATATCTATATTTAAAAATCCTCTATGAAAATTGAATGAGTTTAAAATGAATTAAAATATGTACAAATTTAGTTTTATATTATTTGTAGAGGATTATGATTTCAGAATTATGACATGAGAAATTATATTGCAATATAAACTCAACCTCAGTGCTATCGAGTTGGTGAACAAGATTGTAACTCATCACAGGAGTGTAAAACTTTGTATTTTTCCCAGAGTATGTACATCTGCTGACCTTGAAGTTAACTACCCAACACATAATGAGCGCTCCTTGGATGACAATATAGTCAATTGAAAATAGTTTAAGCTGTGGAATCAGAGAAATATGGTTTGTATCTTTGCTCCATTAGTAATTATCTATGAGATGTTGGTCAAGTTTTACATTTAGCTGAGTCTCATTTCTCTCATCTATAGAAGAGCGTTAAATTATTCTGTTCTAATTGTGTTAGGCTTCTAACTGCAAGGTCCAAGCCACCAGTAGCCCCCTGAGAGAAAGATGCTTGTTGTTTTGTTTTGCTTTCTCCAATAGAGTTCCAGTCTGGGAAGCTCACGGGGGCCAGTTCTACCCTGTCCTATAGCTTCTCTATGAGTTGGCTTTAACTTGATGGCAGTGAGTTTGGCTTGGGCGATGTAGAGTATGCAAAATAATGTTCACAAGACTCCTTACCTCTAGAATACACTTAACAATGTAAGGGAGCAATCATCACAGTTTTCTTTCTTCTTAAGTCTAGTGTTCGCACTACTGTTCTCATGAACATACTTTACTTTGTGTACTCTCTTAAAGTAAAATCAGCTGGTTGTAAAACAGAACCAATTACCATGGAGTCATGCATGTCTCGGTAGAACTGTGTTCCATAGGATGTTGAGTGCCTCATTGTCCAGAAGTACATCAAAACTTATTGCCATCGGGTCAATTCTAACTCGGAGAGCACCAGGTCTTTTTTTCTAAGATGCTTCTGGGTGAACTTCATATTCCACATTTTTGTTTAGAAGGAAAGCAACTTCTTTTCTGCTTGGACTTCCCTTTTAACACTGTCAGAATGACAAACTAATTTCTAATAGATTAGTAAACAATAATACCTTTTTGCAGAAGCTCAGCTGAAGTCACTAAACTCATACTTTTTCTCTGTCAAATCAACGATTCCCTACAATGAAGTAGATAATGGCTCTAATGGGACCTGGTTTGGTATAAAATATATGCTCATGAAAATTGTATGGACGAAACAACAAGGGTGCCTGAAAAATTACATCTTTGAAAGTTTCAGGATCATTTAAGTAAAACATGCTGTTATTTTCATGATGAGTCTGGAGACAATGCAGTAACAGAGCTGTCTTATGATACTTGAAATAATGGACCATTGGGATTCATTAGCTTACCTTCAATGCAATGATATTTTAATATATACTTATATATTAAACATGTACATGTGAAGAAAACCACCTTAGTTTCTGCTTGTGGCTCATTCATTGCTCAATGCTTTGATAAAAAAAAAGATTTTAAAATTTCTGTTTATTTTGTTTCAGATGAATAAAATGTGGAAGTCATGTTGTAGTTTTCACACATAGTCAAAATTTAATTTAAGAAATAAATTACGACAGTATGTTTGCTTACATGATACTGTTGCATGAATGTCATATTCATTTAAGTGAGTAAATTATCTTGGAAAAATGTTGTCACTCTTACCTATTCTTTGGTACAAAAAGGAGGGCATTACTTTCCCAAACTCACTCTGGCAATAGGTGCTATATCTGACATTTTAATAGAAATTTTTAGTCCACATATAAAGTTCTTAACTTTCTGCCTAGCTGTCTTCTTGCAGACACACCAGTGGAGTGATGGTAAAAATCAGTCTAGCAGACATGTCTCCTACTGCTGATAGAGAACTATAATTTCAGTTGAGTTTACAATACATTTCTACAGTAGGTTATCAATGGATGTATCCCCCATACATTTTCTTTCAGTTTTTTTTTTCCTTTCACTGTGACTCTTCCTATCTCATTTTTTTGGTGTCCCGATTCCAGGAAATATTTTTGTTTGTGATCCATAGATTCTTGAAAGTGGGAGCAGAAGCATCGGAGGGAGAAAGACCGATAGAACGGAGAACTTTTAAAGCATATCTTTATTTGTTGTGATGTCCAAAAAACTATGAATGTGCCATTTTATCAATTTTAATAATCTTATTAATGAAATCAACACAATTCAATTACATATTATCATGAGATATTTGTATTATAATATTTATGTGTAAATAATACTTATTTACATTAAATGCACTCAGTTTCACACTTATCAACTAGGTTAAGTTCCAATGAACAGGTTGTTTATAGGAATCTAGGTTATGCAAGAAAAGCAAAAGCAAAAGTATGATTACATCACACCATAAACTGTAGGGAATGATTGACTACACTATTACATAACTGCAAAGCTGCAAGGTTATATAATTACACCACAGATAAATTATATGATAACAGAACTACCAAACCCATGATTCTCTGACTCCAGACAATTTAATCTCACCACCATAATCAGTGTGAGTCTCGCCTCACAATTTAGAATTTGTTACTGCCAGACAACACTGTTAAATGGACAAACTGTTTAGACAATCAATTTTTAATTATAAACATAAGTGTGAAATCTTTATGAGATAGAAGGTTACTAAGTAATAGGTGTCACAGCTTCTAAGAAAACTTGAAAGGTCAGTCTAGCTTCATCTACTTTCTAGTTAGCTGAGAATATTTTAAACTTCAATCATTCGCAATAATTTTCCTCCTTTAAATGTTATTCACTCTTGGAAGACACAAAGGAACATTGATAGCCCAATAGGTTAAGGATTAGGCTGCTAACCAAAAAGGCAATGATTTGAACCCGCCACCCACACTTCACAAGAAAGACACCATTTTCTTCCGTTAAGATCTGAAGCCTCAGAAGCCTCATGTAGCAGTTCTGCTCAGGGCTGTTGGTTTTCTGTGAGTCAGAACTGACTTGACAGCTTTTGGGGTTGGGGGTTTCTTTTGTTGGTTTAAACATTAAGACAAGTCATTCATCCATACTGCAGATAATCAAGAATGATTGCGCTCTTATGTTTTATTTTATCTAATAAAGTAGAAAGTTCTATTTTATCTAATAAAGCTTTCATGTATAATGTTTGGGACTTGAAAATACCTCTGTTCATTCATTCTTGTAAATTGTAAAGGTGTAGTAATTTGAGAACCACATACAGTGACAGATTTGTTTGTGTGGCTGTTGATTTTTGACACAAAAGTTTAGTCAAGATATTAAAAAAAACGGTTTCCTTTATTTTTACAGGGAATGATATCCACATGGGCCCGACTACTTTATTCCTACCTATGCCACCCTTGCTTATTACGACACACGCCCTTTTAAGAAACACAGCATGCAGTTAGGTGCACCAGATTCACAGACTGTAGCATTCACCAGCTACTGTGCAGTCAATTCCAACTCAAAGTAGAACTGTGCTCCCTACAGCTTTTCAAGACTTCTCTTTGGAAGTAGATCCTCATTCTTTTCTTATCATGGGTCTCTGTGTGGAATTTAACCACCAACCATCCGGTTAGCAACAAACAGGTTAACCATTTGTGCTATTCAGAACTAAAGTTGCACTCAAACGTACAAATACCAACTGAAATGTCAATGTTGCCTACAAGCATGGATCTATACAAGATTCAGTTGAAGAACAATACTGAAGTCATCATATTTACACTGTTGGGCTTCACAGGTGATTTCGAACTTCACGTTTATCTCTTTTTACTCTTTCTTACTATTTATATTTTCACCCTAGTGGGGAATTTGGGACTGGTTGTATTAGTTATGGTGGATTCACGACTGCACACTCCCATGTACTATTTTCTGAGCGTATTATCTGTGTTAGATGCCTGCTACTCCTCAGTTGTCACCCCAAAAATGCTGGTCAATTTCCTGGCAGAGAATAAATCCATTTCCTTCATTGGATGTGCAGCACAGATGTTGCTCTTTGTCACTTTGGGGACCACAGAGTGCTTCCTCTTGGCAGCAATGGCATATGATCGCTACGTAGCCATCTACAACCCACTTCTGTATGCGGTTCACATGTCACCCAGAGTCTATGTGCCACTCATCACGGCTTCATTTGTTGGTGGTATCCTGCATGGCACTCTACACACTGTTGCCACTTTCAGCCTCTCCTTCTGTGCATCCAGTGAAATTAGACATGTCTTTTGTGATATCCCCCCAATTCTTGCCATCTCCTGTTCTGACACTCACATCAACCAACTTCTCCTCTTCTACTTTGTGGGTTCTATTGAGATAGTCACCATCTTGATTGTCCTGATTTCCTACCTTTTCATTCTTCTGGCCATTCTGAGGATGCGCTCTGCGGAAGGACAACGAAAAGTCTTCTCCACTTGTGGTGCTCACCTAACTGGAGTGTCCATTTATCATGGGACAATCCTCTTCATGTATGTGCGGCCAAGTTCCAGCTATGCTTTGGACCATGACATGATAGTGTCTACATTTTACACCATTGTGATTCCCATGCTAAATCCCATTATCTATAGCTTGAGGAACAAAGATGTAAAAGAAGCGATGAAAAAACTGTTTGATAGAAATTGGCTCATAAATAAGGTACATTTTTAACATTGTAGAACTGAAAAGAAATGTCAAGTATCAATCCACATTTCTATATTTTAAGGCTAGAGAAAAAAGTGGCTTTGCTTTTAGTTAAATTTGTCTTCTTACCAAATATAGCTGATTAATACCAGTCTTTCAAGTCAAACTTTTGTAAGTGTATATAAGTTGTACCCTTTATCTGCCCTTATTATTATTTACGAGTTGACCCATATTGAACAATAATTGATGCATCTGTATTTTGATCCTTGGTCTTAGGCAAAAGGCTGAGAAGCAGTTGTGTAGTGTTTTGCTTAGCTTCATTTTTACTTAGCTAATGGTGATGTCTTGAGAACTCTGGTTTTGCATATTCTCACATTGTCTATCCTAAGTCTTCATAAAATATTTAGAAATTAATATCCTATTAATATCCCATTCTTTGAAGGACCACCATATACTCTTACACATTCAAATCCATTTAGGTGTTTGGATATGCCTTCTGCATCACTTAACCCAGAACTACAGACTTTGATTCCATTATTATAGGTTTTCTTGGTCATTGTTCAGTTACAGAAATTGATTAGCTTTATCCTGAAAGTAGCAAGAGACTAGATTGTAATATTTTTTAAGAACATATTTAAGGTTCAGTAAAAACAAATCCATAGTTTAAAGAATAATCTGCAATGGTGGCTATTCCTAAATCTGAAAACCTAACTTATCATTACTTGACCCTTTTTCATATTCTACTTCAGTTACTAGTGCTACTTTTACTCGCTGACTATGAGGAACCACCTTGTATGAACGTCATGCATTAGGCCCAATAAACATGACCCAGAGAAAGAAAATGCTTCACCTCAACTCTTTCCAGCATTTTCCAATTAACTTTTAATATGATTTTTAATTTCAATATTGGTTTCTTTCAATATTCATTGAAAACATAATATCTTGTTTCAACAATAAACTAACTCTTCCTCCTACCAGTGTTGGTTATGTTGTTACTGTCCCACCCACAGCAAAATCATCAGAATCATGTAATCAAAATCGTATTCCTATAGGAGAAGTTCTTAAATGTGAGTTTACAATAAAATTTCAGAAACTTAATTTATAATTTTTCTGATAGAATACGTAAAGAGAACTTATACATTTCTTTTGGAAAAGGGCACAACTGGACAGTGTGGTTTCACTCTATACTCAAAATTTCTTTAAATGACATTTATATTCAATGACAGAGATGAAATACAGACTTTTTTTTTGCAATACAGATAGTTTATCTAATAAAACTTACACAGTTTGGAGCCACAGAAATTTAAAATCATTTCTGATTCTATTAAAATGGTCTTTATATAAGAAAGGTATAAGCGGCTTCAAAATGTAACTTTACTTACTCAACTTACTTTATTTATTCTCTTACTTAATTGTTTTCCTTGAACCTCACCTCAGCCTCTGTGGAAGTTTTACAATTTGCTACAATGCTCACAAGCAAACAAGTTGATAAAGATATCTCCTGGCAGGTCCAGATAAGTCTGAGGATGCAGTCTTATATGTCTGATTGTTAGTAAACAAAAGGCTCGTTACTTTCATCTGGTTTTTGTTGTTATTGTTAGATGCCATCAAGCTGGTTCCCACTTACAGGGACCCATGTGCAGCATAATGAAGCACTGCCTGGTACTGTGCCGTTTTCACAATTGTTACAATGTTTGAGCCCGTTGTTGCAGCCACTGTGCGGATTCATCTTGTCCAGGGCCTTCCTCTTTTTCAGTTGTCCCCCTTCCTTTCCGAGAATGATGTACTTTTCCAGGGACTGCTCTTGTGTGACAGCATGTTCAACGTATGGGAGACGATGTCTTGCCATCCTTGTCTCTAAGGAGCATTGCGGTTGTACTTCTTTTAAGACAGATTTGTTTGTTCTTTTGGTAGTGCATGATACTGTCAATATTCTTCACCAGCACCATCTTTCAAAAACAACCATTTTTTTTCTTTCTTATCCAATATCCATCTTTCACATGTACATGCATTGATTGAAAATACCATGACTTGGCTCCATTGTTTATCAGTTTGGTATATGGTAGTGACTTGTGTGTTGGCGTGATGCTAGAAGCTGTGTCACTGGTATTTCAATTGCAAGCAGAGTCACAAAAAATGAAGATATTTCAGCGGAGCTTCCAGGCTAAGAACAGACTACACAGAAGGAATCAACTGCCCAATTTGGAAGAAATAGTCACTGAAAATCTTATTCATAGAATCTAAACATTGTCAGTTATTGAATGCCTATGAACCAAAGCAGAACATTGTCAGATATAGTGCTAGAGAATGGGCCCCTTGGGTCAGAGAACAATCTAAATATTACTGAGAAAGAGCTACCTCCACGAAGTTCTCTGACCATAGTGAATTAAATGGAGTAAATCTTGTGTGAGTGAACCATTTGGAATCTTTGTTTGCTGATGAGGCACGACACATGGTGAGAGGAAACAGCCAAAAGCATCAATTAATGATCAAAACTTGAAATGTATGAACTATGAATCTAGGAAAGTTGGACATTTTCAAGGATAATATGGAATGCACAAAGATCAATGTTCTAGGCATTAGTGAGCTGAAATGGATTAGTACTGGCCATTTTGAATTAAAAAAAAAACCTTCTGATTTACTATTCCATGTATAGTTCCATGTTATATAATCATCTGTCAATTTCAGAGGATTAAGAGTGAAGGGGTGGCATCTAGCCTGTCAATCAGGGCATAACCAATGAGGCCTCTGTGTGGGCATGTTTTCTCCTGAGGATTCTGAGAATTCCTGTATTCCTCATTGGAGGGAGGAGATACATTTTCTCTCTACTGACTCCCTGGAAGAGATTGCAGCTAATGAGACACATGGAACTACACTAGTGCCCTGAGCTGGAGCAGCCACGTAGAGACTCCTGCCAGAGCTGAGATGCTAACAATGCCACTTGATACACAAGACCTCCCACTCACTGGCCTGTGATCTTCCTGCATTTATTATCATTGCATGTGTTTTGTGAGTCTGAAGAGGACTTTATAGATTGGTATCAGACATATGGGCTAATATTGGACTTATAGACTGCTCTGGGATGTTTTCTCAATATTCAATTGTTCTTGTATATAAAGATCTTTCTTATACACATTTGAGTATCTCTATGAATTTTTTTTCTCTAATATGCTCCGACTACCAACCAAGAATAACAAAATCAAGAGGAATGATGTTACATTCATTGTCAAAAGGGACAGTTCAAAGTTTATCATGGAGTGTATTGCGGTCACTGATAGAATTGTGTCTACTTGCCTTCAGAAAATCCAGTCAATACAACAATTATTCAAATGTATGCATTGAACACATAGTTATTGATGAAGAAATTGATGAGTTCTACCAATATCTGCAGTCTGAAATTGACCAAACATGCAATTCAAATGCATTGATAAATTATAGGTGATAGGAATTCAAAAGTGGGAGACAAAAAGGAAAGGAGTAGTAGTTGAAAAATAAGGTCTTGGTGATAGGAACAAAGCTGGAGATCACATGATAGAACTTCTTAAGACCAATGGCTTGTTCATAGTAAATACTTTTCCACAGCTACACAAATGGTGACTATACACATGAACTGCTCCAGATGGAATGCATAGGAATCAAATTCACTACATCTGTGGGAAGAGATACTGGAGACAGTCAGTGCCAGCATCTAAAACTAGGCCAGGGCTGGCTGAGGAACAGACTATCAATTGCTCATATGTAAATTGAAGTTTAAACTGAAGAAAATAAAAACAAGTCTACAAGAGCTAAAATGTGACCTTGAATTCAGTCCACCTGAATGTCAAGAACACTTCAGTGACATATTTTCAGCATTTAACATTAATGACAGGCAAACTTATGGACTTTGGGAGGACATCAAGAACATCATTAATGAAGAAAGCAAAACGTAATTAAAAAGACAAGAAATACAGATTATAGTAGATGTCAAAAGACACTTAAACTTGCTTTTAATCATAGAGTAGCAAAGGCAAATGGAAAAAAAATGATAAGTCAGAGACCTGAATAGAAATTTTCAAAGGGCAGCTTGAGAAGACAAAGTAAAATATTATGATGAAATGTACAAAGACCTAGAGTTAAAAAGTCATAAAAAAGAACACATTCAGCATATTTTAAACTGAAAGAACTAACTAACTAAATAAATAAAAGCCTCCCGTTGGAATACTGAAGGATTCGATAGTCAAAATTTTGAATGATCAAAAGATGGAACGAATACACAGATTGACAGTGCAAAAAGAACTAGTTGACTTTCCACCATTTCAGGAGGTAACATATGAATAAGAATCAATGTTGCTGAAGGAATAAACTCAATTTGCACTCAAATCATTAGCCAAAAAGAAGGCTCCAGGAATTGATGGAATACCAATTGAAATGTTTCAACAGACTGATGAAGCGCTGGAAACACTTACTCATTTTGCCAAGAAACTTGAAAGAGAGTTACATGGCCAGCTGACTGGAAAAGTTACATTTTTTACCCATTCCAAAGAAAGGTGATTTAATAGAATGATGATATATTTGGAGTGTTTCCCTTACACTTTGTGTGATGCCTCCTGCACCTGAGTGATGACTTCATTGTCCTTTTGAGGTTAACAGTATAGTAATGTCTAATTGTAATTTATCCTTATAACATAATCAATATACTGAAACAACAAAATTGCATACAATTATCCCTAAGAATGTTTAAACAAAAATTCATTTCAAATTAAGCTGCATTAAAATTCCTGTACCCCTTTTTCTCCTCAGGTGAAGTGGAAAACAACTTGCAAGAAATTTGTTAGTAACTTTTATTTTTAAAAATAAAATGGTCTCTTTTGAACATTGTAGATGTTTTTGAGGACCCTCTACCTTCCCAAGCACGATGTCATGTTCCAGGGATTTGTCCCTCGTGACAATGTGTCCAAAGTGTGTGAGATGAAGTCTTGCCACCCTTGTTTCTCAGAAGCATTCCACTTGTACTTCCATCAAGGACAAATTTGTTGTTTTTTTCTGGC